TTCCCCCCCCCCCCCCTAAAATATTATATAGTTTTATAGCAGGAGGTTTCATAGACTTGGCAAATTCATTTTTCAGAAGTTTGTAGATACAGACATCTGTTGTGGGCATTCTTGGCAGTTTGAGGCTTTTTAAGATATTGTTCCTATCAATATCAGAATTATGGAACTAGACGAAAACAAGGAGATAAACACACTCTACAAACTATCCACGCAGCATTTAGGCAGGCATTTCCAACTGATTCAAACAGGGCAAAACAAATCACCGTAATGAGAGATTGTGGTGCCCAGGAACCTGAATGACTCCACTGCAGTCACAGTGCTGTCCATGATGGTGAGTGGGGGGAGTGCAGAGGAGTTTCTCCTTAAGTCCACGGTCATCCCCACAGTTTTTAGCGTGTTGAGTGCCAGGTTATTGAGACTGCACCAGACAGCCAGCTGCTCGACCTCCTGTCTGTAAGCAGACTCGTCACCGTCCTGAATGAGGCCGATGAGTGTGGTGTCGTCTGCAAACTTCAGGAGCTTGACAGAGGGGTCTTTAGATGTGCAGTCGTTGGTGTACAGGGAGAAGAGCAGTGGAGAGAGAACACAACCCTGAGGAGCTCCAGTGCTGATCGTACGGGTGCTGGATGTGTATTTTCCCAGCCTCACTAGCTGCTGCCTGTCTGTCAGGAAGCTGTTGATCCACTGACAGACGGAGGTGGGCACTAAGAGCTGAGTTAGTTTGGGCAGGAGGAGGTTTAGAGCACGCCACGGAGGCAGCCATCAGCGTCGGCGCCATTGTGCTTTTGTGAATATTATGAACAAATCAGTTTTTGTCTTGGACCCAAGCTGTGGGCAGTTGTTGGTGGGTGTTTAATAGCTTAGAGTAGGGATGTAACGGTTAACCGCGAGCTGGTTGAAAATCGATTCAAATATGTGACGATTCAAATCGGTTGAGATGCTAAACAAATCGCGATTCATTTAGGGGTAGGAGTTTATATGAATGCATGTCTGAGGGGAACTTACTGTCTTTAGAAAAGTTTAGATGGTATTTTTTCTTTTCATCTTGCCTCTGTATAATGCATATTAAAAGAACAAGAATAAGTTATTTGAGTGAACAAATCCTTTATTACATTGATAATTTATTGATGTAACACCAGATGTCACGATAGAAAAACCTACTGATAAAAACCTTCTGTAGTTGGTAATGCCGATTGGAATCACTTTAACAAGTAAATAAATTACAATTTCAAACAATTCTTAGTAATGGGCATCATTTGTGCTGACTGTGGGGGTTTGGGGAACTGAAAAGAGAAACAGGAGAGGGACACCCTGCAGCCTGAGAGGAAATTATATTAAAAACAAAGCTATCATTTCTTGTGGGAGTGTCATTTGGGGTGGTTATCTCAAAACGCAAACACTGTCACAAACATAGGATCAACTTTCTGTGAAAACATGAGATCAGTAGACTGAATATGAGGCGATGTTCAGCATCATTGTCAGTACTATGCACCTGTGAGCCTGTGCATGTGTATTTGTTCTTGTTCTGCAAGGCCAGAGGGCAGAACACAGCTCATTATTGCTTTGATTCATAATTTGGAGGTAGTATAAAGCAGTTTTAGTAGTGATGTAAACTCACTGCATGGTATCCACTTTCCTCACCATGACACACACCTCCAAACCATGACAAAAATAACTAAAACCAACGTTATGATGGACAAAAAATAGTTTAGTTTTTAAATATAAAACCTCTTATAACAAAGCAACCCTACAAAAAAAATATGTAGTGGTGATTAGGCCTGGGCGATAAAATGGTATCGATATTTATCGACGGTACACCGTCTTCGATAACGATAGAAAAAAATGTTCGATATGGCGCACGATATAGGCACGTGCTATGAGTGATGCAGACAGCACACACAAACATGAGCACATGCTGAAATGAGTGCTGTGCCTGCCTGTGATGAGGAGATTGTGAATAAAGAATGAATATTAGTCGAATTTAAAATAAACATTTGCATTTGAATGTTAGGTGTCTATCAGGGAGCGTCATCAGTTGCACACGAGATGCAAAGATAATGATGTAAGTGACGTTGTTGCATTTGAATGTTTTGTCAGTCTAGCCCACGAGACGTGCCGCTGCTGTGTTATGCATTCAAAATATTTGAGAAATATAGAAGCTCAATGCAGAGAAGATCTTGAATGGGTTAAAACCGAAACCAAGCCATTCACACATAACACATATTCAGTGCATTTTTTAGACAAATATGACTGCTGCACTAGCGTCACACAAGAGATGTATAGAAAGCCATGCAAAGTTAAAACAGTTTAAACTTTTAGAAAACGTCACGAATTTCTGGAGGTTTATTCCTTTTCACTGCATCTCATATGTTTTTAAATGCAATCTGTGTGAATGGCGCTTTGGCTCTTTGGATTAAGCAATGCATAAATACATGATGCCGTTTTGTTCATAATTGTTTATGCAATTTACGAAATTATATTTGATTTTTATGAGTTAATTTAGACGTAATGCACGTTTTTTTTTATAGACAGTTATCCTTGCGTTTACAATTTAAATGCACTATTATTTTGCGCCCTCCTGCGGCCTCGGGAGACAAGAAAAAAAGTTTCCTTAAAAGGGTCATATGATGCTTTTTTAAAGATCATTATTTAGTGTATTTGGTGTAACAGAATATGTTGACATGCTTTAATGCTCAAAAAACACATTATTTTTCAAATACTGTACATTATTGTAGGTAGACTTCGTTTTCTACAAAGTCCCTCCCACAATCAGCTTGTAACACTCCAAAGAGAAAGGAAAACTTGAAATCGCATCATATGACCCCTTTAAGACCTATTTAATCTGCATATAAAACATTAGAAATTATATATTTAATTTTTATTATTTGATTGTTAAAACAGAAAATATTTGTTGTTTGTCTCAATAAATTGGGTTAATTTAAAAATAGTTGTTAAATTTAAAAAAAAACTTTCTATTGCTCTTTGTTTTAAAAAAGGTTATAAAAAATGTCAATAATTATTCGATACCGAACGATATGAAACATTATATCGCTGATACATTTTTTAGCTATATCGTCCAGCCCTAGTGCTGATAGCCTTAGTCTGAGAGAGGAGGTTATCAGTCAACTCCGCTTTCAGTTATTTATTATTCATATCTAGCATTTGGTAAAAATAGCACCAAAGTTAAACATTCAAAATGTGAAAATGCACAGCATTTTTTTAAGATGTGCATCTTGCAGATGTATGAGCAAGACAACCTTAGAGCCTCAGAGAAATGAATACCCTACTACAAATTAGGGGTGGAACAGTTTGCGGGGAAAAAAAATCGAACCGTACAGTTTTCCACACACGATTCGGCACGCGCTAGGACCACACGTGGACAAACCATTCACTCTTGTTCAATGCGAATGCTGTATGCTGGAATATGAGCATTTATTACATCACCTGGGTGCTGATAGCGCACGCACAGGTGAGACCTGAACAGCACATGTTGATATCTGTGTTTAAGCAAAACTCGTTTAAGCTTTGCCAGTTTAAACATATAAGAGCCAGAGTACGCGAGCTTGCGTATTAAGCTTCCTCTGAAGTATTGTGTTTAAATGGACAAATAAACACAAAAATTATGTCAAAATGCCCATCTTGGTAAGTATTCTACAGCAGACATAGCTGGCTGAACGTAATGTATCAGTGCATTCTCTTAAAGTGACAGCACTTTCTTAATATTAATCAAACAGCAACAACAAAGAAATCATTCACTGCTCTTGATTGAATAGCTTTTGTAACTTTAATAAAGATTAATCTTTAATTTATACAGTCAAATATGCAATGCTGTTTTACAATTCATTACTTTATTCAATTTCTGTACCTGAAAACTGTTAGACCTACCTAAAAAAAAAAAACTGAAAATCACTGTTTATTTTATTTGTATCTTTACTCTATTGCATCTATTTGTGCTGTTGCTTGTAGTTAGATAGATTATTCTTATTTTCTTTATTTTTATTTGACAGTATAGTTTTTGCCTAAACATAGCACGTACCGAACCATACCGAAACCGTGACTCTAAAACCGTGATACAAACCGAGCCATGAGTAAGTTGAACCGTTCCACCCCTAATACAAATGTACCATATTTTAAATAAACATAACATAGGTGGTGTTACTTAAACTTGATCTGAAAAAAATATATACTTCTGAATTGTAAATAAACCCTTTGCTCTGTCAGACACTAATTGATCATTTTTCTTTAATTTGCATGTCCCATTCAAAAGCTTATCCTGTTTTCACATGAAAACCCATTGTTGTCTGCGACTAGCACTGGCGAGGAACCTATTTCCTCTGTAAATCTGTATTCTATCCATTGCTCTCATGAAGTCTCAACAATATCTTTTTTTTCTGTTTTTATCCACTGGATATTTTGCACAAAAAAAATCTTTTAACCTTACATACTTGCAGTGAAGTTGCACCCATCACAAGCACATTAAGATTTTGCACCTCATATTTTTGTTTTGGTGGTTAAGTGCCAGAAATTGTGCACATATGTGCTCCCGAACAGAGTTCTGAAGACCAATAAAAAGATTTAGATAGCCTACATAAATATCGGACAGTACATTTTTTGCAGAGTTATAAATTACTTTTAGCATTCACATCACTGACAACAAAAATCAGCATCAAATGTAAGTTGTATTTACCAGCATAAAACAATTCTCACTGGTGACTGTTAATGCTAGACCCTGGGCACATCATACAAGGCGTCGTCTTTGTGGTAGGAACCATCTAACAAATTGAAGAAGCTGCCAACCACATGAAAACAACCAGAATCACATAACATTGCAATCCGGCTTACAAAAGCCTTTGTGCGTAGTTGACTTGCTTTTCAACTGGCGAGATGCATGGGGGAGTATTCAAGTTGCTCAATAACAAGCCATTTCATCATTGGATGGTGTAATCTCCATCAACTTCCCACAGTATACACAGGCACCATTAATCTCAAACAGACGACACTACATATGGACAATGGCTAACAAAAGCAAGAAAGAGCCTCAAAATGGATACTAAACATAAAAAGGAGTAATGTGGCCCGCATCTTGAGAAATGAATTAAACATGTTTATGATTCATCTAAGGACATGTTTACATTTGGCAAGTTTGATTCGATTAAAACAAACTCTGGTGTGATAGCTCTGTTAGTGTGAACTGCCATTAGCTGGTAAAAACGGTCATATCACCATACACACATACAAATTATACGCCTTAAAAGATGTCCAATCAGGTTGTGACTGTGTGCTTATGCCTTTTGTATCTTTAGGTTCAGTGTTAAAAATTACAGTGTGAACGCTAAGTGAACCAGGACTAAAGGTGTAATTTAATTTTTAATTTCGGACCAGAAGAGAACCAAACTACAAGTGTAAACACATCCTAAAACGGCTTGGAAATAAACTTGAACAAAGCTTTGCTTTTTTTCCCCCTCTATGCATGAATGAATGAATTAATAAATATTAAATGGGAGATTAAAAAAATGCAAATCTCAAAGATTGAGAATGTGAGACAGCATTGAGATCTAGGCAATCAGTGACAACAAGGAGGAAGAATAGTGGCAGACAGTGTAAGTCTTTAGCCCAGGGCAACAAGAACTAGATGGACACCAAATACTCTGGAAAACATAAAATCCCATAGCAACAAACTTAGCTGAGCCCAAACAGGTCCGTTAACATAGCTGAACGGCCAAGATAGCCTACTAATACAGGAATGAACAGTATTTCATCCTAATAAATCAGGTCATTGTCCAATGGATTTTAGTAAGCAAGAAAATACTAATGCATACAAACAAACAGATAAAATTAAACATCTTGATTAAGAACATCTTCTTCTTCGCTATTTTCGGCAGCCCAAGAAAGCTTGGCTGTGGAGAAGTAGCAGACATTTAAATACGAAAGTAAGGATGACTGATAGTGATAAAGACAGAGCTAAAACTCAAAGCACTACTCCAATGTCATCACTTCCTGTCTGACAGCAAGGAAGGAAGGCACAACATGTTCACTGTTTTAGAAGAAATCGGAACTTCACCTTATAGAAAGTGTACAACAATCTATGGTGAAATGAATTTCTTGAAGTGTCTGCAGCAGCTCTGTGTCTGAACACACACACACAGCCACGCCAATACGGCTAGCTAAAGGGTGACTTACAACTGACTTCTGCTGTTAGTAAACAATGTTAATTATAGTCACTACAGACTAAGCCTGTTCCCAAACTATAGCCATGAGCTTAATATGCTCTAGAACGTTTTCTTGTACTTTTTTTTTTTTACTTTGATACATTTTCTAAAGTTAATTTTATGGAAACAAACGTACAAACGCTCAAGTAAAACACAAGTGAACTAGACTAGCAACAACACTCTCGTCTCTTGTGTGGAAATAACAGGAAAGGTGTGTAACGTTAGTCTTTCATTTCGCCCTCCTTTTTTTCCTAACACCAACTCTCACAAACACTGCGCACTCGTCAACGCACTCCTGAAATAACAAACCAAGAGTGCAAACAGGACAGAAACGTATAATTTGAATGAATTTATTATCAGTCTCCACTCTTGTTTACTCCGCTCGTTAAGTTAGCTAGCCGGACTGTCTCTGACAGCTAGCTAGGACATTTATTGTCATTCTTCTGAAATATCCCACTCAAAGTCATTTTGAAAACACCTCACCACACTGTCTAATAATAATGCTGTTATTTGAATTAACATCGAATTCCACGTGTTTAACTGTAAAAGTTGTGTATTTTAGGGTTTAGTTTCACTTCCGCACTCACGCTCAGTCTCTGTATGTTCACCCCTCCCATACTAGCTCACTTCAGCTAAAGCACAATCCGATTAACCGTCACTTTTTCCAGAACTCAAGCAAAACCCACTTACCTTTGGTGTCGCTTAAGCAGTATAACAGCATCAAGAGTTTTAACAAAACCATATCGAGTAATTTCATCGCTCGCACATTGACACCGAGGCTGGTTTGGCTGTTAGTTTTGCGGGTCTTAAAGGCGCAGTCGCCCTCGGTGTGTGTGTGACGGCTGCTGCTGTGCGGCCTCGGCTCCGCGCTTGTCTCTAACGGCCTGACGTCAGGCGCAGGCAGAGCGGAAAGCCACGCCCACTCCCGAGACTTGTGTTGAACTTAATTAAATGTATTAAATTGGAGGACAATATGACAGCTGTTAAAAAATAGAATTAACCTTGGTTGTGGTTCATTGAGATCCTTTCTCATACCAAATACTTCATAATAATTTTATTAATGATTGATTATTGATGTATAATAATTTTAGTACAGTTTATTTGTCAATAAATAAATGAAAAAAAAAAAATTGCCATTCTAATTTATCTATGGATCTTGTCATTATTAGATACTTTATTGATCCTTTACAGGAAATGACATTTTCACGGCAGTTTCAATGCACAACACCACACATAAGTCATTTCCAGCTCTACAGATGCACAATTTAAAAATAAGAAAAAATTCATATATAACAATTAACAAGAAAATAAAATTATTTGATTAAAATGTACACTCACGGGGTAATATATATTATTAATAAAAATTGTAATAATATATTTGCTTTATGTAGCGATGGTATGGAACTGTATGCATGCGATTAGCCCAGTCAAAAGAAGTCCCACTTCTGCTTGGGCCAGCTTCTAATTTCTCAAAATTCACACAGTTGTTTCTATTAATGTAACTTACTTAATGTACAACTATGGTCCATAATTGGCTAAACAAATAATGTAAAAATGTGAAGACATAGAATGTGATTAGGACTGAAATGCATCTTTTTCCTCTTATGTTTTGTAATAGTATTTGGACAGTGAAAGCTAGTGCGTTAATTGGGTTTGACTTGAAATTTTGTTTGGATTCTGTCTTCATCTTCAGATTTCTCTCTCTCTCTCTCTCTCTCTCTCTCTATATATTTTTAAAAAACATCCCCTTTGACATGTATTTGTAGAGCCATACCAGTATTTTGGTTTGGTTCGAAACAGTCATTTTACAGACACACCAATAACTTCTGGCTTTCAGCGCTGGACTCATTTGCATTATAAAGATGACATTTAATTATTGGCTTTGACAGTGAGTTGGCAGGCACATGAGGCGCTATTTCAGTGCTCAGTCTTTCATCTTGAAAAAAGAGGCACTATGTTTTTCAGCTTTGACTGCTTTAAAAGCCACTGACATCTTCTGGAGATGATAGCCACGTTCAGGCTGTTTTTACGATGGTTGTTGTTTCATTTTTATTTTTGGATAAAAATCTCTTCTCATAGTGCATTCATGCTGATACAGCAGCCTATTGACCATAACCCTTATGTATGTGTATTACATAACATCATTGCTGAAGGAAAAGAGGTCTCATATATGGCCATAGGCAATTTGTCATTCAAACTAGTTTTAAAATGATTTTTCTCTGGTTCTGGCACAGGTCAAGCTGCCACCAATGATGGAGATTATAACGGCAGAGCAGCTGATGGAATATCTAGGTGAGCGTTTTATTTGCATTATAAATGTGGATTCTTTACATGGCTTTGTTGATTTTACATAGTATCCATCCAATGAAGGGTTCTGTAGAAATCAGGATAGATGTTACAGGTTTTATTTATTTGAAGAGCTAATAAAGAAAGGCAGAGATGCACAGAAAGTATGGTGGACTCACTGACAGCACCATAATGGGAAAACTATGCTTGGCTACTTCTCCCCGCAGCTTCAAGTCACTAATTGCTAGTTCGTTCCCAAAAAGAAAAATGTAAATTTATCCACTATAGGGCATCAAATCACAGTAAGAACCATGCAACGCTAGTCATGTCATCCTAATTATAGGATTGTGTAGTGTAATTTGAACATACACTCTCTGGTTAGACATTTTCTGCATGTACCTCTACATGAAAATCTGAGCTTCTCTATGGCTTCATAAAGTGTTTGAGAAGAAGTCACTCTGTAAATCAAGTTAGACTCTTGTGAGTTTGATAAACAGCCTGATAAACATTGGAGAACCTGAAAATGTGATATGTTTTCAGAATGGTGATGGACAGCACCAGATCAGGGAAATACCCAGGGGCTCGTCCTCTTGTAACGTCACAGAATCCAGATCCCTATTTCCACTGTGGCATGTTGACCTGGTACACTGAAGTGTTGCATTACTGCAGTTTGACAGTTGCCTGGTCCTCAGTTTCTCACATTGCATTAATGTTTTTTAACTAATTTAAAACATTTTTAATAGTTTAAAAGCATCTGTCTACTAGTCCTAAATACCACTGATGGAATGTAAAAGCAGCTTGTTAAGGGGAGAAAAAATGGTGTATCTGCCACGAAGAAAGTACACCAACTGTTGAAGTCTATAATAAAAGTTAGTCACTACCTGAGAGCGTTTGATTGGATTTGAATGTTGTGACACCTTGTGATGAGTGTTTTAACTGTAAGCAGTTTTATTTTGCCTCACACACTACAGAAATGTCAAGTATGAGATGTATATAGACATCAGCTCTGGATGTGTTATTCAGAGGTTGATATACAGTATGTGCAGTGGTTTCTCTTAACACATTTAGTAATTTAGGAAGATGCTTTTATCCAAAGTGGAACACCACAGGCGAGTTCTAAAATGTAGAATCTTTACTGGATTCAGACTGTGTTTTGTTTGGAATCTTTCTGGAAAGTACAGACTTTATGATCTTTGCAAGCTTGTGTCTTGTTCGCCCTCTTAAAGTGCAGTGGTTGTGACCGCAGAGAATGTGGTCTTCAGATGTCATTCCTGACATGGGTGTGGTGGTCACTATAGTGTATATTTTATAGTACGTTTTAAAACTTGACAATCTTTTGCAATGTAAGACATTTTTTTCCACTCAGAATGGGAGTATTTATCAAGCATGTGTGTTTGTATGGCAGATGGTTATATTGTACAACTTTCATTAAACTTAAAAGTTTGCAAAGCTTAATCGTGTTATTTAATTTTTAATTCCTTTATATATTATATGTTATGCATAATAAAATAATAATAATTCATTCATTCATTACACAAAGTTCATTCATTCACTCATTTCCTTTATTTAACCAGGTTAAATAACTTGTTGAGATTAAAATCTCTTTTACAAGACTTACCTGGCCAAGAGGGCAGCAACAATTAACATAAAATATACAAAAATGTACATTACAACATCAAAACACGAGTCACAACAACATTTTACCAGGGGATAAAGCAAAGAATCTGTTAAAAGTACATTGAACTCATTTAAAGATGGAAGTATGGTCAGTTTAAGATTATTTTGTAGATTACTCCAAGCAACTGAAGCATTATATTTAAAATCTTTTTTCCCCAGCTCTGTTCGGACCTGATGAATATTGAGATATAACAAGTAATTTGACCAAAGATTATAGGATATATTTGTATTGGATCAGCTGAGAGACAAGTAGGAAAGAGTATTGTTGTTGTTGTCGTCATTTTTGTTGCTGCTGCTCTACCATCATTATTATTATTATTGGTCATCCCATCAGTAGCTCTTCCATTTTATTGCATGTTCAGCCAGGAATTAATTGAAATGTAATCATTTTATATCCAGTAAAGCTGTAGAATATATTATTATTATTATATTTACTGGATATAAAATTATTACATTTCAGCCCCATTCCTGACTGAACATGCAATAAACTGAGAGGGCATACTGTGTAAAAAGATGATAAAGGTACAGCAGCTTCAGGTGGGAAACATTACCTCCTGTAGCTTGCAGTAACTCAGTTTGGCTTGGAAAACTTGACTACACTGAACATGCTTGAGGCCATTCAACACACCCCATTCCCAGCTGTCTGCCTAGAGACCACTCTGAAGTATTCCTCTTATTGCTGAGCTGTTTGTAAGAATGTCCATCCATGTGATCTAAAGCATGCCTGACATATAGGACACCGAAATCCAAACCGTGAGAGATGAAGAGTGTGCCAGCTGGGCACTTTTAACATTTATTGTTGCTCGTTTGACCATCTGAATGTTGCTTCTGAGGTACTCCCATCGTAGCTTTGAGCTGCATTTATTCAGCAACATATTCACATTTGCTCACTTATGATGAGACATCCATGGTTAGCTACACAGGCATCTGTAAATTGCTTTTCTCTTCCCTAGGTGCAGTAAGCTGTTTAACTCCATTAGACAGCATCTATCTCGCTCTGTCTCTCTACTATACTTTACAGCACTTTGTGTTTCATTTCCAGGCAAAGTCAGTGGCCTATAAACAAACTCTTGACAAGTGCACAGTCTTTTCTGAGTTGATCAAGACATGCATTTCAGTCACTGTGGAACGCTATAGTATGTATCCAAGTAACCCAAGTAGTTCTTTTATACTAAAGACTGATCAAAGTTTGATGCAATAAATTAATACAGAAGTGTAAAATATTTTATTAGCATCAAAACAATTTGGCCAGAGCCTAATGACTGATTTGTGTCATTAAATGTTTTTGGTTGCCTGAATAAATTGTTCATCATTCAAAAAATTCAAAAGACACAATAGCAGAATTAAATTGTAAGACCTGGTGAAGTTTTGTTTTGTCTTAAAATCCTAAATCTTTATTGTTCCAAACCTGCAAGAAGCATTTTTAAAGAATTGCACTGGTTGCTCTTTTTCATGCAATTATTCTTGAGACTTTCCAGATTCAAAACGTATGGACAATCACCATAAAATTGTCATAAAAGTTGGAATCTTACTTGTGGGTTATATTCCAAGTCAAGTCAAGTCAAGTCACCTTTATTTATATAGCGCTTTTAACAATACCAGTCTGACGGGGCTCATGCTTATAATAGTAGCATGGTGGAGTAGACTCATTTAGACCAATATAATCATTAGGTTTTAATTTATGCATTTAGCAGACGCTTTTATCCAAAGCGACTTTTAGCCAGGTTTTAGTCAAGCAGAGGACATCAAAACGATTATCTGTGATAATTTCATTTACAATAACTGCTTTGGGTGAGAGTGATCTAATGTTTAGGAGCCCAAACTTTAAAAATTGTTTTTGTTCATTTATTTTAAATTGTTCTGGTTTAATCACGATCAGATTTTTTCTAGATCCTGCATTAAATTTATATTTTGACCTCACTATTCGGGGAACAGACACAGTCTTTATAGATTGGACAGCACAAGTCTACAGATGTTAACTTTGTGAGACAAACAGACCCAAATCAAAGTAATTTTTCATTAAAAAGCTGGTCATATGATATTTAAAAGTGTCCTAATATTGTGTTAGAGTCCCCTAACAGGTTTAAATGCATCTAAGGTCAGAAAACATTGTAATCTTCGTAGAATATATACATTTAATATTAGATTAATTTTTCAATGATTTCGAAACGATTCGTTCAAAGCAGTTCTGAGCTTAAGGTCTGTAAACCCCTCCCATCCATAAGCCTACTCTGCTCTGATTGGTCAGCTGGCCAAGTCTGTTGTGATTGGTATTTTTGTATACAATGCGTGTCGGAAACGAAACACCCATTTTCATAATAAATTTTTTGCTCCAGAGGGTTACTTGTAAACAAAGATGCTATAAGTTTACAAAAATGGTATCGATATTACCTTATCAATTCGAGCCCAAGTCCGAGGATGATACAGATGCAGTCGCTCAACCAGAAACTCCATCACAAGCTTGACTTGATCAGGATGTTTCTCAGTGGTAAGTTTAAACTTTGTATGTGGTACTTTACTTGATGTGACAGCAGTTTTATTGCATTCATTATTAGTATTTATTTATTTGAGGTGCACGTGTGGAAACTGTGTTAGAATGCCCAGTGAGGCTGAAAACACAGCGTCTTCTCGAAATGATGTAAACACACTAACTAGCGGAAGTGTTTGTGGGCAGGTCAGAGTGTTCGTATTTCGCGGGCAGGTGGGGATTATGCAAATGTGTTACCTTGAGACGGATATAGGTAACAGGCAGAAGATTCGAAAATATGGCGACTCGTTAAGGCGGTTCAGAGTCGACAATATCATTATTTATCATGCACTTTTTGGATTAACTACTTTGCAGGCTGTTTACATTGAAGTATTGCTACGTTACAAACTGCAAAATCTATATTTTTCGAAAACCCATATGACCTGTTCTTTAAAAGTCTTCAGTAATACATGCACTGACTTGGAATAAAACACATGCATTCTTATAGACCACTTTTATGATTTATTATAGTAATTTATTTAAGCTTAAAAATCTCATTCTTGTGCCAGCTAATTGCATGAAAAAATTGCAACCAGTAAAATTCTTATTTGTATTCCACAGAAGGATAAAGTTATACTGGTTTGGAGCGACATGAGTCGATGATGATGATGACAGAATCTTCATTTTTGTTTGAACTATTCTTTTACATTTTGATGTAATAAAGTGAATACGCAATAAGGCAGTTTGTAAAACAGTGCGAGCAATTGCAGAATCTTTTTAATGGGTTCTGAGAAGAATGGGAGAGACAAAGGGTTTGACCGAGGAAGAGATCAGCTGGAGAAGAATTGAAAGAGAGATGAAGAGGAGTTGGAAGAGAGGGTTTTTGCTGAGCAGAAATAAATGAAAGTGGCCCAAATAAACCTGCCTGTGCTGGGCTGCGTTCTTGGCACCAATCAGAGGAAGCGGGAGTCTGAGGGAGTGGGCCGAAAATAAAACGGCCGAGCTTCACGCTTCTCTCTCACACGTTTGTGTTTTGTCGGAGCAGAAACATCTAGGCTTCCTCTGGCATTCTAAACTCGTTTGTTTTGAACTATGGCAGGTGCGACCATATAATTCAGTGTCACTAAATTATTACACAGTACAAAGACAATGTCACTGGAAAGCTTTGGAATAGTGATAGGTATGTGGGAATCAATAGCAATAGACTGCTCTGTAATGGAGTGGTTTATTTACTGTGATTTGGCCTTGATTTAATGGAGCAGTGCTCCTGTACCTAGAGCTGTATGTGTGTTCAGAATGTTAATGAGACAGATGACAGGTGGTTCAGTATTAGAGCAAAACCCAGGGTCAGATATTCTCATGTCTGCCAGCAGGCCAGCAGCCATCGATGCCCCGTGTCTCTGCTCCAGCCCCCTTCACTGATCTGCAGGAGATTTAGTTCGGACAGGACAATGAAAGGAGGACAATGGTAAACTTGCATAGAGGTCAAACTAAATATTGAATTGAATTCTGAAACTTGTTGTTTTGAGTTCAGTTTCTTGGAGGGCTGCACGATTTGGGGGAAAATCTAATTGCGATTTTTCTGATAAAATTGTGATTTAAAATCAGAATCAGAAAGTCCTTTATTGCCATGTATGTTTACACATACAAGGAATTTGTTTTGGTGACAGAAGCTTTCACAGCACAAACAGAATGGCAGTGACAAGACAAGACACAGATAATAAAAATAATAGAAAATAGGAAATAACAATATACAAAAAATATTAAACAAACTAAATACACAATAGACAATAGATGGTATTTGTGTGTGTATTCCAGAAAGGAGGTTCAAACAGAGTTAAAACTTGAACTCTGAGTTGACATACCCTGAGATGGGAAACTGAGTTTTCGGTTTCAGAACAGCTAAATTGTGTTAGTTCAGTTGACTCTGAGTTTAGCGTGTACACCACGATTATGAGAAGTCATGATCAATGGAGCTCCGAAATTATGATTCACCATGGCAACAGCACTGACAAAAAGATGTCCGCATACTTCCGAGTCAATACGTAACTTTAATTCTTAATCACTATTATAATATCAGAGGTGAAAACTGTAAATTATTTAACTAAATTTCATTTTCATGGTATCCCATGGCAAAAAAGAAAAGAAAAGAAAAAGAACGTAGCAGCATCTAAAAATGAATTATAAAACACAATTAAATCAAGGTAAAGCTTTAAGCATAAAAGTTTCATGGGTGTAGGCTATATGACTTTACAAACATTTGACATATTAAATATCATTCAGTGTCATCATTTCAATGCACGGCAGCTTTTCCCACATAGTTTAACGCTCTTTTCACATAGACTTATTAAATATTCTCTAATCAATCCTGTTACATTTCTTAATTAGAGTAATGAAATTAACAACTGACAATTTGTTTATTGTAAATAATTTGTGTTTATTTAACAGCTGTGCTGGTGGTTACGGCATATATCTCGTACTACCCCTCCATCTGGCATCCTTCCATTCCATACAGTAATCTGATTCATTTTCAGAAGGTGCACATATGGCAAAATAAATCAATTAAATCAAATTAAATTAAATCCTCTCCTGATGTAAATGTAACTCCCCACGAATTAATGCAGCCTCCTCATCTACAGGATCCCTTATAAAAAAAAACATGCAATTTTTGTCACCTTTACCGTGTCTGCATGATGAAAATGAAAGTGGTCCGGTGAGAAAAATAATCTTGTTTCCATTTTCATTAAGATTATTTTTCTTACCTCGCTGGCAATTAATTTGACTTGTTTACCCCAGAAAACAAGACTAAATATTGTATATATTTTTTCTTATATAGAAAATGCATCACGATTTAAGAATTTTTAGATATTTGTAGCCTACTTGAAATAAGGCAAAAATCTCAGCAATAAAAGCAATTTTTGCAGCGTGAATGAATGAATGAGGTATTTAAACATTGCTCTCACTTTAAAAAGGGGGAGGAGACCGAAATAAACTCTTGGTTTACCGAAGAAAACCTGCTCCAGACCAGGTTAGGTTAACAGAGTAAGTTACTATGGTAACTATGGTAACTTACCGAGAGGTTTAGTTTTGTCTTTTACTGGAACCGAAAACCGTGAGTTTCCCTTTTCTGGGGTTTAACAAACTCTGAGTTTCCAACAAAACCCGCTTTCTGGAATACACCCCAGGTATGTTATGTACAAATGCAAGGAAGAAATATGATTTTAAAAAGCAATTCATGTTTGCTGTGCATGTTCGTAGGTCTGCACAATTTGGCTGAAAATTTGTGACAATATATCAATATGGCTACAAAATAATGATAACTTTTTTTTATTATAACTAAATAAAAAAACAAAACCATTTAATACTACTAAAATAAAAGAACACGTGGCGTCTGAAACATACATACATAGCTACACAATTGACGATGGACAGCAGATCTAATTAAAATGTTATGTATCAGCTCTAGTATTATTGAAATCATAGTTGTTGTTTTTTTTTTGTTGTGAAATCAGACTGACAATTCTGCATAATGCGATTGTAGCTCGGCTTCGTCTGGCATGTATAAATGTTAATCAGTCTTTAATTGACCTCTGTTTGAATATTTAATTACACATTGTGTCATGTATTTGGAAAGAAAGATGAAGACTGTAGCTCAACAACATAAAAACTTCTACATCTACTAAAACAGGTAGGCTTCAGTCACTGCATTGACTGACATTCCCGCTAAAGCTGCAAATACAGAAAGATCGGTGTTGTAAATATCTACTGCTTTTGGTTTACTGGCATATGTAGACAGTTTGTTAATTACAACGGGGTGAAGAGGAGACTGATGTCTCCTGTGAGCATATGTTTTTCATAAGTGCACTGTCTCTCAAATGTTTTCCTTAACCCTCCTTTTTTTCTTTCTTTTGCTCCTTCACAACAGGAGACTATATCCTTGAAGCAAAGCCAAAAGAGATCTCGGTGGCTCAGCGGCTGAACTATGAACAGGTAAAAGCAACAGCAGTTTGGCTCGTGACTCACAGAACACAAGTCTATTGAAGATAGCCAGTGTGTTTACATAGCTCTCTGTGTGTTTGTGGGATGGTGTAGTATTAACACTGAGAATGAGAAGAGAAAGGTGAGGCCTAAGGCTCTGACAGAGGAGAAAACATTAGCCATGACACATGTAGACACTCAGACAGACAGATATCTTTCTCACATTCTCACATCTCTTCTTAAAACATCCTTTTGTTCTTGTAGTGAGCATGGCTTGATTCTCTGTCATTAAACTGCCAGTTATTCTCTGTGGCATTACAGTGCCTTTAGGAAACAAGCTGTGGTAGTCATCCAGATCAGCACCCATCCATCCCAACAAGAAATAAGGACAAGAAAGCATTGAATTGCCATTGAATTAAAGGAATTGTGAGAACTGGTCCATTCCAGTCTGGATCCAACTGTTTATATAACGGCAGGAGTGAATATCATTGTATTGCACTGAAAGAGAGGAGACTCTCATAGAGTTGTGCGCTCTACAGAATTTGACATGTAAGGTCAAAGAGATGCCTCATTTCTTCTCACATGGTGTGTAAGGGATGCAAGACGGGGACTAATGGAGTGATGTTTTAGCCTTCTCCTTATTAGCCTGTGTAGAATATATACCGGTACAGTATACCCCACAAAACCTATCCACAACAAAACTGGGAACATATTTCACCCCCAAATTAACAGGTTAAAAAAAAATTCCAGTCTCTGCGGGTCTTAAAAAGGTCTTAATTCGCCCTTCCACAAATTGAGGCTTAAAAAGGTCTTAAATTAGAGCAGAAAGCCTAGGATGGCTTGAGGGTGAGTAAATCATGGGGTAATTTTCATTTTTGGGTGAACTATCCCTTTATGGATGTTTAGATATTTGTATTGGAAAACAAGACAAAAATACTGAGGAAGATATGCAACAATGCAACATTTCATGCCATGACTTTATGAATTAAAAAAATGAAAAATGAAAATTACCCCATGATTTACTCACCCTCAAGCCATCCTAGCTGTATATGACTTTCTTCTTTCAGATGAATACAATCGGAGTTGTATTTAAAAAGTCCCTGGCTCTTCAAAGTTTTATAATGGCAGTGAATGGCTGTTGAAATTTTGAAGTCCAATAAAGTGCATCCATCATAAAAAGTACTCCACACAGCTCTGGGGGGTTAATAAATGCCTTCTGAAGTGAATCGATGCGTTTGTGTAAGAAAAATATCCATATTTAAAACTTTATAAACAGTGATCTCTAGCGTCCACTAACTATTGTCCGCACGTACACGAGAGAGTGGCATTCCAGTAAACAGTCCTGCTAGATCAAGCTTTAATCTATGCAAACCAAACTCACTTTAATGTAGTAATATGATTTGGGCTTTTTATTTTTTTATTTGCATTCACTAATAAAAAGATTTTATCCTTAGCTACACTGGGGAGCTGCTTTATAGCAGAAAATCAAGTTGTAATTTTTAACTAAAAGCGTCACTGACACTGTTTTTTTTTTCATTAAATACTGTAAAGCTGGTTGCTTTTAATCAATCTGCGCTATATAAATAAGCGTGACGTGACTGGAGATCCGAATTGCAGAGCTGGTTCAAACAAATCCACATCGCTATGATCAGAAGCTTTTTAACTGCTGTTTTCTCACCTCTTTTATTTTTGTTGTGCGTTTACTTCGTTATTAAGAAGAAAAAAAATCACAGTACATATTTACATATGAATCTAAATGCCACTCTCAGCAGCATCTGGTTCGGCTATTTTTACACTCCAAAGTGCTCCAAAGCGACTATTCCACAACAAAAATATTTGTTGACCTTTTTTTTATTGTTGACGTTGTCGATAATGTCGACTAGTTATTTCAGCCCTAATGCTAATTAGGAATGAAAAGTTGTCCTCCCTTAGTTGAGTTTTTCCATTATGTTGAGGTTTCATAAGCTTATTGGCGGATATTTGTTCTTTTCTTAATCACTATTCATTTTGATCAATTTCTCATAAAACAAGACTTATTTTTTTTGTCATTTTGCTTCTCAAGTAAATGTGTCTTGATTTAAGGATCTTTAGACATTTGCGCTGGAAAACAAGAGGAAGAATGTCACTTTTTTTTGCAGTATGATCAGAAAGTACAGTAAAAAGTATTCCCATATTCTAGTGGTTTGGATCAGAGCAATTCTATTCCTAAAGCTGTTTTTATGAAATAAATTAAAAACTAAAGGAGATCGATTGGAAGGCATATTTTCAAACTGAAGTGTTACTACTACAACACAATGTGTTACTTAAATTGTCTTTACTTGGTCTTAAAAAGGTCTTTAAAAAGTCTTTAATTCATCAAACCTGCAGAAACCGTGTTATATTTTACCAATAACCATTTTTGCATTAAGACAATTTTGTATTGTCACATATTTTCCCTAATTATCATTAACAAAATGTGAAAGTCTCATTTTATTACTGTAATGCAAAAAATAAATATATTTTAAATCACTGCTGTAAGATGCTGTAACCACTTCAATCTAGGGGAAAAATCATACACGACCGCTTAAATGGTCAGTAAGATTTTTTTTTTAATATATATATATAATACTTTTATTTAGCAAGGATGTAAAAATGAAAGTAAAGACATTTATAATGTTACAGATGTTTTCTATTTCAAAAAATTCATTTTTTTACTTTCTATTTATGGTTTGTTATATTCCTCCAGTAAAATATATTGCTAATAGTTTATTATAGTTTGGGTAGTATAAAATTGCTAATGTGAGAGTCTTTTAATTGCCATTATAATCTATTCATTTTGAAATATCTGCCTTCCAAGCAGTTCAAAGTCAAGTCTATTTTTGTATGTGAGATTGAGAATATGAGGATTAAGATAGCAGTGCTTCTGATGTTCCCCAATGCGTGTTCTTGATTATTGTAGTAGGTGGAGGCTGACTGGATTCATGCTCCTTTCTTGCTCTATACCTTCTCTTCTGTATGAGATTTTGCTTTGTTCTTGTGTTTTTATAATGTAACTTATCTTTTGAGTTTTTTTTTTATTGCCAAGACTGTTTCAGGTATGGCTGAGCTTCATTCATGCTTGAATAATGCTGTTTCTCTACACTGTAGGTCAGCTGACTGTCTTCGGCCAGGCTCTGTGACTGTTAGTGAAGCGATTTTTTGGCACTAGGAAAGAGAGAGACACACACACACACACACACAAAGGTCCGGAAGAACTTCATGGGGTCTGTCTGCTCTCTGTGTGTTGATCTTAGTGTTTAGCCTGCAGTGTTGCTAACTAATTTTCAGGGGAAGTTGCTAAAGGCAGATCCGTTTGTTGCTAAAAGTTGCTAAATGTCATTGTGATGTCATTGCGTGATGACGTCATTGCATAACTATGACACAAAACAGCGTTTTTACGTAGAATACACAACGAGATTACTCAAATCTCAGCGAAAAATATATATTTTAAATGTTATTTGTTCATAAAAATATTATAAACATAAAATATTTTAATTTGTAAAAGTAACACAAGTAGCACATCTTTATGATTGGATTTTTTACAACTTTGAATTATTGAACAGGTACACATTTTATGTATTTTAATATTAACTAGTAAAACTGCACATTCTGAACAATTATAGTTTTAAGCAGTGTACTGGTAGTTAGTGTGCTACACAAAAATCTGTAAAAATAGGACACAATGTACTGTTTGTATGAAGGAACAATACGTATTTATTGTTCCACATATTTTTTTCTTACAGTGTACCTAACTGAACAACAATTATATATACAAGCTAATAACATGCTGTATCATAAATGTGCATTTATTATTGACCAATTGGAACTAGCAACTTAATGCACATTTGATGTTTGTACTGTTAGGCATCTTTCTCCAGCTCTCTCCAGGTTGATGTGCTGCTTGGCTGGCTAGCTGTTCAATGGTTTCCCCTTTTTGTGTAATTTAGATGAAAATATGTGCTTTATTTATCATTTGAGTCACTTTGCAAAAGTTGCCAAAAACTTTTTAAAAATAGCTAAATTTGTTGCCAGGTGCTTTTTGAAAAAAAAGTTGCTAAGGTAGTTTGAAAAGTTGATAAATCTAGCAACAAAATTGCTTAGTTGGCAACACTGTTAGCCTGTGCAAACAGTGCACAATAACATCACTCAGGTTCAGGGGCGGATCTACCGGGGTGGCAACTGCCAACTCTAAGAAAAAGCTGTGCCACCCCACCTGCCACCACAGAGTTATCACAGAATAAAATATAAATGTAAACAGTGTTTCATGTGCTACTTTTCAGCCGTGGCGATGACAGCATAACGCAAAATAATGACAAAAACACGCATTTTAATAAACTGTGCACGATGGTTGCACGAGCACGCAGCGTGCCAGTGTAGTCGGCTTCATTAACAAATTACTCTTATCAACTGGTTCTTTTTGAGTCAAAACCACTTTCCACACAGTTGAAAACCAACTGCTTTTCAGGTAACTCGGAAGTCCTCTGAGAAATCTAATCCCGTCCGGATATGTCTGAGATTCATCACGTAATTGTTTGGTGATCCGATTCTCCGACCGCTCGCTCCACTTTCATCATGGATATAAGCCCTAACAATAACATGAAATCAACAAGATGCCGATCACGGAAACTAATAGCAGAGTTAGGTAAGAATCTAGTCGTATTGCAGTTTTCTCGATTGTTAATATAACTGATTTTAGTTGCCACTTTTCCCCCCCAAAAAACTTTAACTCAGTTTTCAAAACAAAGACACATTTCTCAAAAAGTTTAATAATGAGTAGTCTAAAAACTGATGACACACCAATCAGAATCTCTGCATCTAGACAGTATACACATACAGTATAATTACAGTACAGTACCAGTACATTAGATAATGGAAATTTCACTATTCTATATGTACAGTAAACTGTAGCACGTGTTGTACACCTTCAAACGTGTGACTGTCAAATTTTATTTGTAACCATTTTTTATGTGTCCTGCATTTTTGCAGAACTGAGAAATGACTGCCTAGAGATATAGCTAGTCTTGTGCCAGGAGACCAAGAAACTGCTATAGTACTGTATACTGTAATGACATTTGGCCAAATGTGCAGAGGATGCTAAATTTACTTTTTTTATTTTATTTTTAGTGTACTGTATTGAGGTGCGTGCCAAGTTCATACAATTCTTTGGTATTTTAACTTTTCTAGTGCTTTTCATCTACTTCAAGATTACTTTACAGTAGTAAAATGAAAATGATTTTTTCCCAAAAGTTCATTGCTGAATTATACATCTGTATCTGTAATTTATGTATACTGTAATAGACACTGAGCTGCAAAAATAATTCCTGAATCCTAGTAAGAGTTTTTTGTTACAGTGTTATTGATCACAGTGTTCTCTGGGCAGGAAAGTCATCTGTGTATTTGAATTGTGTGTAAGCATTTACAGTTTTTTCAACTGCTTACACACAAAATCTTTACTTGTCACACAATTTCTGAAAGCAGACACTCAAAGCACACACCAAATCTGCAAAACCATACGCTAATTCTCTGCCTTTGACTCAGTTTTTAATTTCATAAAACACTTTTTGCAAAACAACACACAATTCTCTATGTAACACACAAAAATCTAACAAAAATGGCAACAGTTTATGGCAAAGGTGTTTGCAAATATTTGCTTTTGAGATGTGTTTGTGATATTTTGAATGACATTCCCACCTCTGTTAATAACAGAAAATCAAATAGTTTCACTGCTTTGATATTATTGTATTTCTTTCTAATGTTAGGAAATTCAAAAGTTTTTGTTGCTCTTAAACTTGCACTAAACGTGATTACACCATCTAAGTAGCCTATGCAATTTTAATAGAACCGCATGTCTTCTTTAGTGATACAAGCTCAGAAACATTTATAACCTGTTGAAGTTTTTTATATTGTGTATTGTCTTGGTGCAATGATGGATATTGAAATGTTGCTATTTATTTTTCATTTGAAACGGTAGATGATTACTTACTGGTAATACAATATTTGTGAACACAACTGTGTATGTCAGACCATAAATCCCCAAAAACTATGCATGGGGGCTTGCTTTGGTGTTGCCACCCCTCATAGACCCCATGCCACCCTAAAAATTATTTTCTAGATCCGCTCCCGCTCAGGTTTGACTGTTTATCAGATGTTTTCTAGTCTAATAGATGTTTTGATTGTATTAAAGCTTTTATAGGCATCTCCGTGAGTATCACTGTACTGGAGCGAGTATAATAGAGCTGGAGAAAGTGGGTCAGGGCAGTGGAGTGGTTCAGAAACACTGGCAGGGGCAGGGGCAGGGGCAGGGGCAGGGGCACAGGGACAGAGCCAGGCCACACACAGGCAAGGCGTGGGTGGGGGTTGGAACCGGTGCCAGGCTCAATGGGACTGAATGGGAGCTGTTGGTGAAACCTCTAACGCTCACCGACCCTGGTGCCAGTTCTACATACTCTCATCCACCCACTGGCCATCGGGTCAGCCTGTGCCACACTGATTCATCCAGGCCTGTGTTCCAGGAGAGCAGGGGCTCGTGAATCAGCAGTTTTCTGAAGGTGTCTGGTGTTGTTTTGGAAACATGGTATCGAGCTGCGGGATGATGACCTGTGTTATTCTGATCAGAGTTAAGGTGAGATGAAGGCTGTGCTCACTCAGTCTCAGAATACGGTTGACTTGTTTCGAGTGCTAAATACAGTTTGAGTATGACAAAGATTGACAGCTGTCTAGAATGGAAGTGACTACCTGAAATTTGAAGTCAAAACTAAATTTGTTCTCTTGATTTGTTCTGTTAATGTTTTATACCATATATCTGAGAGGATTAAAGCATGATGGCAATAAAAGTCATCCAAAAACTTGAGCATTTAAGTTACATATGGCATGAGTGTCTGTCTTATATCATGAATGAAGTAACAGAAGAGGCTGTTCTTAATTCACAATTAAGGATGGCCTTCACTGCCTTATTGCTTTTTTAAAAATTTGTCTGGAACTCTGTCAAGTGTTATTGTTAACTAAAACTATTAAAATGGTTTTCGTTAACTTAAAGCTGAAATTAAATTTAATATAAATATTGGATACACTTAAAAAAAACTTTAAAAATTCAAATTTGAAATTTTCTCTGGCAAATAAAATATAAATATTGGATGCACTTAAATTTTTTTGAAAAATTCAAATTTGAAATTTTGCTCTGGCAACTAACTAAATAAAAAAATTAAGTTTAAATAATAAAATGACTAAAACTGAAATAGCTAAATAGAAAAAAACTCATAAGTACAATGGCACATAAAATGATTAAAGCTTCAAATTAAATGAAAGCTGAAGATATAAAAAGCTAATTCAAAATACTATTAATGACTATAATAGTATATAAATAAACAATACTATAATAACACTGAACACTGTATTGACCAATCAGATTCCAGAACTCGAACTATCAATTTTATACTAATTAAATACCATTTTATATTTTATACAAATTAAATCCATAATTCTAGATACAAGTGATTGGGATTGAATTAAGTGAAAGTGCTAGGAAATCCCCTGTACCAACGGAAAATGGCCAAGGCAGAAAGAGTGAGAGAGAAATCTCCTACAAAAGGGCAAAGATAATCTCACTGGTGTCCAGGGATTCATGATGTTGTTGTTACATGGTTGATTCGTGTTACAAGCTCTAATCTCAACAACTGTCCACACACACACTCATTTTGTGAGCTACTAGCAGATGGTCATACTGTGAGTACTTAAAAGTGAGAGCCGGACAGATTATTATTATCATAGGTTCTGGAATGTAATATCAAATGCGGAACACACACGCGTGTGATGTTCAAACTCTATCTGTTTAACTGCACTGGAGTTTGTGAGCCTGCAGCTGTGCTTTTTTGAGAGTCAGTGGAGGGTCATTATGGTCAAAACTGAAAGACAGGAAGTAAAGGAGGAGAACTCTGGTGTTTAGAGCTGTTTAGTCGCTGGTCTAGAGTTATGAGATTTTTCCTGCTCAGAGCAGTAAGACAATTGGGTGTCACATTTTACAGAAATGTGTGCATGTGTTGTGTTGTGTTCCCTTATATTCTTGTATACCTTTGCTCTCTTTCTCTAGAATATGAGTGATGCTATGGCTGTGCTGCATAAACTGCAGACAGGTCTGGATGTAAACGTTAAGTTCACAGGTGTGCGGGTATTCGAATACACACCCGAGTGCATTGTCTTTGACCTGCTGGATATCCCACTCTACCATGGATGGCTGGTTGACCCACAGGTTAGCATCCTGGTCCACATCCTTCTAGAAAAGCAAATTCCACTGAAACATGTGATGTCACCACATGATGTCATTTGTGTGCTTTAATTTCAAGATCTTACTCTACAGTAGTAACATGCAGAGTTTCACAAATACATGATATGCACTGTGCAGTAAGTGGCTTTAGTAAAAAGAAAAAAAATTATTACATTTAAAAATTACTTTAAAAAATGAAATGGATCAAAATAATTGAATACTACTAAGTATACATACTCATAAATATTTATACATATATACTAATTTATCAAATTAAGTGGAAATAATTGCTTAGTATCATCATCACTGGGCTACAGTCCACAACACTTAATTTAATTGAGTTTGCCAGTCATTATTTTTTAGTATTGCACAATGATCGCCATGGTTTCACAATGCCGTACCGTATCAAGTTAAAAACATGCTGGGGTTAACTCTGTCACATCGATTAAGTAATATACAAATTAATACATACGTTTACACATTAAAATTGCACCCCTTCTAAAAAAAATCACCCATGTGGAAGTTAACATTCATTCTAATATTTTGACCAGCATATTGACTTTCTTGTTTTTATCACACTGTCTGTAGATGGCTGATATAGTCAAGGCAGTGGGAAACTGCAGCTATAACCAGTTGGTAGAGAAGATAATCAGCTGTAAGCAGTCAGACAACAGCGAGCTGGCTGGGGAAGGTGGGTATGCACTGTTCTTTTCCTTTCATACATTCATGCAGACTGCTTCTTCCAGAAGGCAAGTGCTCATTTGTAGCATAATTCACTTTCTTAGAATATTTAGAGTTCACTCTTTGCCAGGCTTATGTGCATTTACATGTATTAATGCCTTGTGAATATGAATCCATGTTCTGAATAATGTTTTCCCCATTGCATCATTCAAATAAACAACTATCAGAGTGTGTCAGAGTCATTTAAGCACCCTCCTCCTTTTCGCAGTTTTTAGCTTTCTGAAACGTTCTCTCCCTCTCTTACTGCATTTGTCTAAATATATCTCCCTCGTCATCTTTTTTTATTTGCTCTTTCTGTCAGCGTCTATCAGAATGCACCCTTCCTGTGTCTGTTTCTCTCTCTTCGGCTGATTGGCATCCACTCACACTCTATCCCTGTACCAGTGTATGTGAGTTTGTCTCTGTCTGGCTGTGTGATTTTTGTGTGTCATAAAGTTTCAGACAGTGTGTGTTTAAAGGATTAGTTCACCCAAACATTTTTTTTCTTCATTTATTCACCCTTATGTTGTTCCAAACCTGTATGACTTCCATTCTTCTATCTGGAGAAATTTAAAGTTACAGTGAATGGGAGCTGAGACTTTAACACCTCGAAAAAGACGCCATAAAAGTATAATAAAATTAGTCCATATGACTCATACACAGTGTTCCAAGTCTTCTGAAGTCATATGATAGCTTTGTGTGAGAGAGACTGACATTCAAGTCATTATTCACTGATAATCACCACCTCCAGTGGACTGTCATCGTGAATGAATCACTCAGAACAGTTTTGTGAACTGAATCAAAAGATCAAACTCAAAGAACAAACTTGACTTGTATACGAATCGGACATTGCTATACACCAAGGAGAGATAGGGCAGATATTAAAGGGGTTCTATTATGCTTTTTCACTTTTTCAACTTTAGTTAGTCTGTAATGTAGCTGTTTGAGCATAAAAAAGATCTGCAAAGTTACAAAGTTCAAAGTCCACTTCAAAAGGATATATTTAATTTAACAGAAATTTTTCAAAAACTACAACGAACGACTCATTTGGACTACAACGCATATTTTCCGGGATTTGTGATATCACAAAGATCGACGAATGGGACGAGACCTGGTTGAGTTGCACTAGAGAAGGCAAAGAGTGTTATGATTGTCGCAGACACTCTAGCTTTCCCAAGGCAGACGAACTTAGATCATCCGGGTTTAAATCGCGCTCAAATTGATTTGATATTGACGCAATATTTACACTGAAGCTCGCAGGCGGCTACGGTGAGGGGCATGACATTTCCTGACCAGGTGCCGAGTGCTGCCAATCACAACACACACTGGCCCAGCTAACCAATCACAGCACATTTCGTATTTCAGAAGGCGGGCCTTCATTTGATACAGGAACTATTCGAGCCGTTCATGCCAGACTGGGGAGAGAGGTGCTGTAATAATGTAAAATATGTGAAAAATAATGTGTTTTTCGAACAACCTAGTATGAGAGCCTGTTCTAGTACACCCCCAAAACAAAATCAAGACTTTGTAAAAGAGCATAATAGGACCCCTTTAAGGATTTACATTCAAAAATGTATTGTATTGTGTATTTCAGAGACATCTCACACTGGCTCTTTCTTTCCCAGGTTTTGTGGCAGAGCAGTTTCTGAACAGCACAGCGACTCAGCTAACATACCACGGCCTGTGTGAACTCACTTCTACTGTACAAGAGGGAGAACTGTGTGTCTTCTTCAGGAACAATCACTTCAGCACCATGATCAAATTTAAGGCGTGTTGACATTTAAGTGTATTTGAGATGTTGGATGCCGAAAGATGGCTCTGTGCTGCTGTGAATAAGCGCTCTAATAAGCAAAGTAAATTAGGTTCATTTGTCTATAGAGGGATGCTGTATGTTGGTGCCCCCCAGTGGCCAAAAACAGAACTTTAAAATTCTACGGAGAAGACTATGCTATAGATATTGGGTACCGTCCGAGATGATGCCATTGCTGATTACCATGATTTTGCATATTGGAAAGGTCAAGGTCTGACAAAAAAAGGTCTGTTTCAGAAACTGCTTAAAATATTATTATAAAACCTGCAAAGTGTGTTCAATGTTTGATCCATCAAGTGCACTACAACAAAGCAAAATGCACTATGTGCTGACAATGAAATGCACCCAGAATTAATTGAAAATACGAAGTCGTTTTATACCACCCACAGATAAAACTCTTCCATGATCCTCGTGTACACACTTCAGAACATGACACCACTACTGCTCGGTCTGGGAATGTTGAAAGATTGATGAACGAGAGCTGTGAGGTTGCTGCATGTTTTTATAAATGCTCTCTTTGTGTTCCTCAGGCCCAGCTGTACTTGCTGGTGACGGATCAGGGGTTTCTCACGGAGGAGAAGGTGGTTTGGGAAAGTCTGCATAATGTCGACGGAGATGGAAACTTCTGCGACTCAGAGTTTCTTCTGAGGCCACCCTCTGACCCGGAAACTGTGTACCGTGGTCAGCAAGACCAGATTGATCAGGTCAGGACTAGTAACTTCTCAGGAGTGCTCAGTGTCATTCAGTTATAAACACGGAGTATGGTAGTTGTTTCTCTGGGTGACATCTGTAAAAGAACATTTACATGGGTCCTTTATGATTAAAGCTCATGCAGTCGAATGGAGTTGGACTGGATTTGTGACTGTAATTTAATTCATATACACAGTACCGCCGCTCCCTATACGCAGAGTACGCCGTTTGCGTAGGGCACCATCCCATTTGCTCAAAAAAAAAATTTCGTTTATGATTAAAGCTCATGCAGTCGAATGGAGTTGGACTGGATTTGTGACTGTAATTTAATTCATATACACAGTACCGCCGCTCCCTATACGCAGAGTACGCCGTTTGCGTAGGGCACCATCCCATTTGCTCAAAAAACAAATTCGTTCTATATTAATATACATATATATAAAATTTTTAAAAATGCATTTTACGGTGAAAGCAGTAGGCTAAGCACACGTGACGCGCCATTCCCGCATCCGCGCCCGCCCTCACCTCATGTTTGCAGCTGACTGCACATGATCCTAATAGAGTGGGGGACTATGACGTCACTTTGTATGCAGATCGGCTATTAGCATCGCACTGGTTCCCTCGACAAAAAGCCTATAGGATTTTTCCTTTGTGGTAATAAATACAGACCTAAGCGAACAACAGCCTTTAAAATTACTTAAAATACATTATATAAAAACAATGAGGCAATAATGATTGGCTATTTAATAATAATCATATGGTTTCATTGAATAACACTGTTACATAATGAAATACAAAATAAATAAACAATTTACAAATGCCTGCAAAGGGTGCCAAAGGCCTGGTAATTGCTGTTGTTACATTTACTGGACGATCAAATCCTTGTTTAATATTGACCAAACATTTAATTCAAATACCCACTTAATCTTTCCTTTTTGGCCACCTTTGGCCACCAGTCCTTTTGCTACAGCCTCTATAATTTCTTCAACAAAAACATACATCACAACTTTTACAAAAATTAACATGGGTTTTATTGTAGTTAATTTTCTTTTGTGTGATTCTGAATGGCTTGAGACTATAAAATCAATCAGACAACTGTATTAATAAAATCATAGCCATAGGAGGTAACTTTTTAAAAAATATATGTTTATGTATTACACTGACTGTTCTTAATTTACTTTTTTTTTTACTAATAACTGTTTATTTGGAAGTGCACTCAGTAATTCTTCAGTGACTAATATCTTCTGCTTCATTTAATGCAGGGTCAATGCTGAAATTTGTTACAAAAGAGGATGAAGCAGTTTTTGATTTAATTTATTATTGTTTATTTTGATAATATTTAATCTTTTAAAATGTTTTATTTAATGTGTGTAATTTTAGTTTGTATTTTTTTTTGCTATTGAACTACAATTGTACTTTGTAAATAATACAGTTTAATTACAATTTATTTACTTTTATATTTTATTAAAGTTCTATTTTGACCCCTATAGTAGGTGTTTTATTTTATTTATTTTTTTTTACTTCCATTATATTTGGGGGAGGGGCAAAACAATACAATTCTGCTTAGGGCACCCATTTGGCTAGCAGTGGCCATGCATATACACTACCATTCAAAAGTTTGGGGTCAGGAAGATTTTTTTAAAAGAAATTAATACTCTTATTCAGTAAGAATACATTAAATTGTCAAAAGTGACAGTTAAGACTTCTACATTGTAAGAGATTTCTGTTTCAAATAAATGCTTATAAAAGAATTCCGAAAAGAAAGTGTCATGTCTTCCGCAAAATTTAAGCAGCACAACTGTTTTCAACATTAACAATACATTCTTGAGCACCGAATCTGAGGCATTACAGGAATATTACATTTTAAAATATATTCAAATAGAAAATAGTTATTTTAAACTGTAACAATACTTCACAATATTTGTGTTCACTGTACTTCTTATCAAATAAATGCAGCACTGGTCATCAATAAATAAATAAATAAATACAAACGCAGCTAAAAGAAGTTGTCACTCATAATTTGTTCGAAATGTAGAGTTCTGCTGTTTACAGGAGTGACAACAAAATTATACAATTGTTTAAATGCAATTGCTTACAATTCCTTAAAATGACATGGTTTACCAATAAATTCTGTATCCAGTTCATCTGCATCTGTATCTGTATCCACTAATATGTCAAAATTACTAGCAACTATAAATGAAGTAAGTTACAATGAATTTTCACAAACGCTGCTGCCTTGATGCCAATAAGCAGACATTACAGAGGGAGAGTTTGGAATACAATGTTTGGGGCCTTTTCCAGGTACCTCTCTTAAGAAAAGCATTAAATCCAGCCCTGCGGATGAAATCCCTTTTAAAAGTTAGTATTCAAAGATCCAATCTTCAAAGCCTTTAAATTGTTCCTATGCTTCTGGATAACAGGAACTTATATAGACATTTAAGTTCCTGATATTTAAATTGTGGTATTAAAGTAATCACAACCCCATCTTTAAGAAATATACTGTGTATACCAAATGGGGTGACCAAGTTGTTTGATTTCACAGAATCACAGTGACCCTCAGGTAACACCGAGATCTAGAGACTGAAATTACAGTAAGCCGTGAATGTTGACATCCAGTTGAGACACAGCCAGTCTCTGTGAAAGTGCAGTTTATCTATATTGGGCTTTGTATCGCACTGCTGTCCTCTAGCACTAATTCTGCTCCATTGCCCACTGGACAATTTCCTCAATTATTGATGTTAAAAGCTCCCCAACCCTTCTTCCAGCTCTGTGAAACCCTCCCCCTGTGCCTTTGGGATGCTTTAATGCCTGATTTCCGGACAAAAGTGTCTCACGTGACACAGATCCTTTGTCTCTCTCTTCTGCTCTTGTATTGGGTGTTTAATAATGAAGTGTCTGTATAAGTGAAGGGCTTAGAGATGACTGTGCTCAAAAAGTCAGACTTTACTCTAAAAGTCGTTGTAGTGCTGTGTCGTGGGGTCAGTTAGCAAACTAAATGGTCAATTCACGGGATATTCATGATGTACTGTGTTCTTTTTTTCATAAAGTATTATGTAAGCTCCTTACTACTGTAAGGATTCAGGCTAAGCTATAATATAATCCTCTACAGAAATAAATAATTCACCCACAAAGGAATAGGGCTGGGTTTTGACACAAATTTCACGATTCGATTCTCATTCACAAGTTTTCGATTCGATTCGATTTGATTACCAATTCGATTCAATATAGATTATTTTGGATATAGGCCTATATCTGGTACAGTACATGCCAATTTTTCTCAAGGAAGAAAAAATCTCTCAACTAATGCTGTAAAATATACACGAGTCAGTTGATAGTACATTACTATAATATTGAAGGTTAAAATTGACTGATTTGTAAGCTATAGCATACAACTGTTAAAATTACACAATTAAGTTTTTAAAATAATAAAGTTACAATTACATAATAATATTTCTACTTAAATTAGTTTTTTTTTATATAAAAATGTAAATGGTGGCTGTCATACAAAAAGATGGATTTATTCAAACATAAATTAAACATTAGAATAGTAAAAATTATAATGAATGTTATGTGGTGCATATATTTAGCAAAATACCCCTCTCTACAGTTTATTTTTCTTTCTGACTAATGAGTTTATTGTCACCGAATATGTTTTTTTTCTGAGGTAAATGTGACGTTACGTGACATTGTTTACAAGAGGTTATATTGACATCTTTGCGTGGCTGAAACACTGATTGAGCGATTACATGAGACAAGATACGGATTGTAAAGTTGTACTCTTTCTTTTAACTTACCTTCGGATATTTAGTCGTTTATTTTGTGTTGAAACTTGTATTAACGTGGAGGAGATGATTAGTTCACGTGAGTCACTCCACATTAAACAGTGCCAAAACTGCATAAAGAGGACGATATCCGCTTCGTCATGCCTGGAGCTGATCCGGGCTGGTCGCTGAGGAAATACTACAACTTCGCGCGGTGGATCGCCGGATCGGTTTTGCAGTTAGGGTTAGCATAAATCTGACCCGGGGTCGTCGCATGTGGTCGCCGCAAGCCCTCCGCACGCTCCTTCGTCGAATCTGCCGGCCACACCGTTGTCAAGCTCACCGGCCTCCTCTCACTCAGCCCACCGGCCGTTCCTCACTCTAGCCGCCACCCTCCGCTCACTCTAGGCCACCACCGCGTGTGATGCTGTGTTTCGTTGTGAAAGCGAAACTACTTTGTTTGGCCTTCCAAAAGAGGACACGACTAGAAATCAGTGGTTAAGTTGTATTGTACACTGTTCCAGAACACTTCAACCCAAATATTCAGATGTGTCCAGTGCATTTTATGGAGGACTGTTTCCTGATCCTGGTAGAGTAGACTACAATGCCGGCTGTTCTGACTCACAGACTGTAAGTACGTTTCATCTGCCACTGACGATTCAAACGCGAGTTTTGGGCAGTGTAGAGTAGCGCTTGTTGTTTGTCATTTCTCCAATCACAAATGCAGACATGGTTTTATGTTACGCTCCGGCCTGACAGGGCATCACAGTATGGTAAGGGGAGTAACATTTCCGTCACATGCTTGAGGTATTCGGCCAATCACAACGCACTGGATAGCTGGCCAATCAGAGCACATCTCGCTTTTCAGACCGATTAACTTTCTAAAAATGTATGCGTTTCAGAAAGGCGGGGCATAGAGGAGAAACAATAATGTACAGTATGTGGAAAATAATGTGTTTTTTTAACCTTAAACCGCATAAACATTTCATTACACCAAATAATGTTCTTTTTAGTAACATCATATGACCCCTTTAAGACATAACACATAAGACACTCTTTTTCGCCACCTACTGGCATATTTATGTAATATGAAGAAATGGTCACTGAACGAATCAGTGAACGAATCTGAATGAATCATTTTGGTGAACAAACTGAAAATGAATGAATCTCTTGAAAGAATCAAAATTTCCACCGCTAGAAACTAGGTCCCAGAGTGGATAAATCTGAAAACGCCACCCTTGCGTTTTCGTGTGGTCAGCGAATCCGTATATTTTCTGAAACAATGACGTCATCAGCCCACGCCCCTAGTCAGAAACCGCTACGTCACGTAACAGCAACAAAAACATGAACAAACACTGAACGATTGTCTTTTTATTAACTTACATTAACACAGATGAATAAATGTATTGTTCCATGTTCGTTTGTATACCGCGCACAAGGTTTATGCGCATTGTCCAAGTCTTCTTCTCCCGTTTTTAGTGTCTCTGTGGCAGAATTACAGCGCCACATACTGGTCTGGCATGTATACTACATCTTTTTGTGTCGGTTTTGTGGTTTCGTGTGGACGGAGATATTTCTTGAGACGAGAAAAAAAAAGATTGGATACGGAAAGCGCTGGCTTCGTGTGGACACAGCCGTATTTTATGTTTAATGGAGAAATGTATCATATATATCATATTCTCAACAGCATAAGAACTGAGCAGATGTTGACAATTTTAATTTTCCCCTGTGTTTTCCACCGCTAGAAACTAGGTCCCAGAGTGGATAAATCTGAAAACGCCACCCTTGCGTTTTCGTGTGGTCAGCGAATCCGTATATTTTCTGAAACAATGACGTCATCAGCCCACGCCCCTAGTCAGAAACCGCTACGTCACGTAACAGCAACAAAAACATGAACAAACACTGAACGATTGTCTTTTTATTAACTTACATTAACACAGATGAATAAATGTATTGTTCCATGTTCGTTTGTATACCGCGCACAAGGTTTATGCGCATTGTCCAAGTCTTCTTCTCCCGTTTTTAGTGTCTCTGTGGCAGAATTACAGCGCCACATACTGGTCTGGCATGTATACTACATCTTTTTGTGTCGGTTTTGTGGTTTCGTGTGGACGGAGATATTTCTTGAGACGAGAAAAAAAAAGATTGGATACGGAAAGCGCTGGCTTCGTGTGGACATAGCCGTATTTTATGTTTAATGGAGAAATGTATCATATATATCATATTCTCAACAGCATAAGAACTGAGCAGATGTTGACAATTTTAATTTTCCCCTGTGCATGTATAGGACTACCTGATGGCGCTGTCTCTGCAGCAGGAACAGCAGGCCTCAGACCTGGGTTGGGAACAGATCCCAGAAGGCATCAGTGATCTAGAGCTGGCCAAGAAGCTGCAGGAGGAGGAGGACCGCAGAGCGTCACAGTACTATCAGGAGCAGGAACAGGCCCAGGCAGCAGCAGCAGCAGCGGCTGCGCAGGCACAGGTGAGTTAATAAACTGCACACAAGAATAAACAAACACATACTTAAGATCATTTACCTCGAATGCCATTTTCCACAAAATATTGGCGTATATTACACATTGAATCTGACATAACATCACATTAATGTCATGGTGATCCAGACTTGATGGGGGCAGCTGAAAGGCTGTTGCATTAGTTGTTTAAGAGGACAAATAAGACCTAGCAAACCATGAACGTGTACATTTGCGATGAAATTACAGATCTCTACTTCCATACAGTAACATACATCTGAGTGAAAGATTATTTGAAAAAAAAAAAAAAAATTGAAGGACAGGGGCATTGTTCTACAGATCAATTGTTGATTGGATGAAGGCGGATCTAATTGCAAGCTTGCAGTCGATTGTAACAAAGGGGCAGAGTTTAAGTGGACTAAATGATTGACAAAGTTTGGCATACCATACAAAAGGTTGTTATTTCAAAGGAAGATCAAATTCAGACATTTTGATTGTAAAAAGCTTTTTGAAACATATGCATGGGTGAATTGTTTACAGTAAGATCAATAACATGTATTTCATTTCATGCCTACTTTAAAGAGTTCAAATAAGAGGTCATTTGTTCCTCTCCTGTCAGGGACAACAACCAGCAGCGGGTGCCGACCAGGTGGATAGAGTGGCAGCTGCTGGAGCCTCAGCGGGGGGAGCCACGGCTTCTCCAAGCCCTGGAAAACAGCCCTCAACGGTGGAACGCAAACCCAAGAAGGAAGCCAAGGACAAAGACAAATGCATCTTGTTGTAACAGCAGTGGACTCTACGTGGAGTGTGAAACGGGCAGCAGTTTAATTCCTGTGGCTCTGCAATGCATCTCCCAGCCTGAGTTGGAGAAAGAATAGACGACAGAGATGAAGTGTGATAGTCGGAGAGGACTTGCCATTCTCAAGCCACTTGTGCCTGACTTTAACCCTCTGAGTTCTGAAGATGCAGACAAGAAGAGAGGGGTGTCACTACAAGGACTATCACTACAACTTTCGTAGAGCTGGCCAAATGTTCTCAGCAGGAAAACCACTGCAGTGCACTATATTTGTGTGGGGTCACCAGGGAGGGTGTTTTTTTTTTTTGTAGTAAAACAAGGTAATGTACACATAATGTACACATAGCAGTAGCCCCCCCCCCCACAAAAAAAAAGAATTTCAACAAAAACAAATGAAAACAAAAACAAAACATGGCACCACTTTTTTTCATTATACAAAGCATTTTCTTTTTTGTGAATTTCCGTTATTGCTGTTGTTTATAAGCTATTTTATGCCAGGTTACCCGTACATATGCATATGTAGATTTGTTGTATTGGTAATTTTCTTTTATTTGACTGAAGGATATCTGAGATCTTTTAATGAATGGCTGTTCACATGAACAGGTAGCAAGCCAACAGGTCGCTTGGCTAAGGTGATGTCTCAGGACATGATGTAGGCCACCATAGGCAGGTACGCCTGGCAGTTTGATGCCAAATTTTTCATTGTTGATATTATAGGAAAAGTGACCTCCATTTTAGATAGTGAAATCTTGATGAAACAATGCATTCAAAAAGGGTTTCCTTATTAGGCAGTATAAAATCCAGTTTGTTATTTAAATGCGTCTACAAAATAATTTTTGCAAATAGGACATTAACTGTTAATATCAGTGAACAACTGACACTACCATTAATCTAAATAGCTTTAAAATATCAAAACCAGTAGATTATATAAAATACAAGGCCAAGTTTTTGCTTCGCCCCACCCCTTTTACCTTTCAGCCAAATGTCTGGTTCATATTTGCCTTATAAAAGAGTTTGTGGGTGCAATCTCCATGAAGAAAATAGAAAGTCAATTTCAAAGAGTAAATAGATGGAAAATGGCTTGAAACTGTTTAATATATTTAGCTAATGCTATTTTTGACCTTCAAATAATATCAGTAAATATTCCAAGGCCTTGTCTGCTTAGTTGGCCGTTGGTGTGCAGCACCCATTATAGGTCCTAGACCATTTTAGTTCTGTATGCACTGTTACATTGAATGCACTAGATGAGAAATATACCTCTTTTTATGCTAAATTAGAATCACTAGTTGTCTGGTTACAGCTGAACCGGATTTATAACACTCAATAACATTTGTGCAATAAGGCTTGTAGTTTTGGAGTTTAAAGAACTGAATATTAAGAACTTTCGAACGGTTCAATTTCACCCTAAATGCTGCCATTTAGATGTTATGTTCCTTGCCCTTCCAGATAGGAAATGTTTGCAAGACGTCTCATGAATATAATTTGATGTTTTCATATCTTAGTGCCATCAAGCTATATGGGAATGAAAGCAACAAATGATGAGAGAGCTCATGAATGAGTTGATCCATGTTGACAGAGCATTACCGAGGGTAATTCTCTTCATTTCAACAGATATTGAAATGCCACACATTACACATGGCACACATGCTTTCTGCCAATGATGGGAACTGGAAAGTTTTCTCCTGGTGCATTTGTCTTGTAAATTTTACTGGGTCAGTCCATAATGGAAATGCAGTTGTGATGCATGTTTAACAGCTGAATACAACATGTACTTCTAAATCATTTTAAGAAACAGTCCCATTACAATTTCTATTTTATATCCTTTATACGTGTATATTTACACAAAACATTTTAACTTAGCAAACAGAAAAAGGAAAAAATAAAAAAAATCAGGATATTATAAGGGTCAACCTTTTATTGTGTGTAAGGTTCATTAATGACCAAAAACATTTATGTAGCCCAACAGTGTCAAAAAGTACATGGACAACTTTTCTGTAACAAATGCCTTAGACGAGGGACAATACGTCTGATTAAAGGAAATCTGGTTCGTGAGTCTGTGTGATTCTTCCGATTGTCATTCAGTCAACTTTTCTTCCACAGACTGTGGGCAGATACGGCTACAGATACAGAAGCAAACTATACAGAGATGGTCATAATTCACAATTTAATAACTTGTAGAATCATCAAAAAAAGTCACATGTTGAAATGTTAAAGGAATTACAGGTGTGTCCAGTGCTACACGCAGTAGTCTGCCCAAAGCGTATGGGAGTATCTGAAAGGTTATCTAAACAAACACTGGTTGAGAAATAAGCTGTACAGTTGCACCTATAGAATGTCAGGAGAACATGTATGTCACAAATGTGGTTTACAGGTCACCAGAGAAGTTCAGGAAACAAAAACCTACATGTAGGTTTTTATAAAACTACAAGCCTTTTATAAAGACAACAAAATTGGATCTTTACAATAATCTAATGGCTATAAGTTCAGCCAATTAAAAACATCAGAAGTTCAAAAAAAGAAGAAAAAAAAGTATTTATATTTTTCCACAGCAGAGAGTCAGCTACTAGAACCTTCCTTTGAAGGGCTTGAATCCTCCGCTGCCACCGGCCATGGGAACATTAGTGATCTGCACAATTCTGTTCATACCAGAAGAGGAATGGCTGCAGAAAGACACAATCAGAAGTCAACATGTGAAGGAAAGACTTGAGACTAAATGTGATTTCCTGTAAATGTGCGAGACTCATGATTCATTAACCACCATGAGTAAATAACTAGCAAACAAGGTGCAGTAAATGATCAAACTATTTGGGCTACAAAGCAGTGCGTCTATGACGGGAGGCGGCTAACACCAGAAACCTTGCACGGTCAAAAATATACTCATTCAAGTTAAAAATAAGGTGGATAGAGTTAGTATAATCAAAAATGGCACATAACAGATTGACATATGCATGCTAGAACTGCATGAGTCTTGTTTAGGGCTGCAAAGGGGTGGAACTTTTCCAGAAAATTTCCATGGGAACTTCGTCTGGGGAATTTAGGAATTTATGGGAAGTAATTGGAAATTTGGAGAAATTTATTAAACTGCATCATATACAAACATAAATATAAACATTTTGTTTGATCATAGGCTCACATGCATGCAAACTAATACAAATTTTAAAAAATGACATTTTTGGATTTTTTGGGGGGGAATCGGAGATGTTAGTGTATTGTTAAAAAAGGATTTCTACAGGTTTTTTTTAAATAAATGCTGTTCTTTTTTAAACTCTTAATTCATCAAAGAATCCTGAAAAAAAGAATCACAGGTAATAAAAAAATTAAATAAATTAAGCAGCACAACGGTTTCTAAAATTGATAAATAAGCATATTAGAATGATTTCTGAAGAATCATGTAACACTGCAGACTGGAGTAATGATGTTCAAATGTTCATGCTTTGCATCACAGAAATACATTATATTTTTAAGTATATTAAAACAGAAAACCATTATTTTAAATTGTAATGCTGGTAATACGGCGCGATATTACCGTTTTGTTCTGTTTTTTTTTTTTTTCAAATAAATGAAGTCTTGAGCAAAAGATATGCAATGTTTTTTATACTGATATATTTAGAATATCAAAACTTAGAGATGAAGTCTTTGGGCTCAAATGCAGCAAGTGTGGCTCAGAGAAAATGCAGGGGAAACCCCCTCTTAGGTGACTAGAGGGGATTGTGTGTGGGGGAGGGTCATTTGTTTATTATTATCTCACCTAAATGTTTGTTCAGTCAGTGTATTTGTTTTTACAATGGTATAGCCTAATTTATTTGCACAGTATATTACACACAGCACAAGGAAGTTTTAAACATAATTTTTTGTAATATTCATGTAATTAACATGAATACTTACCAAGATGGACATTTTGTTGTTTTGTGTGCATGATTTAAGAAATGATCTGTTCATGTTATGGAGGAAAGCACAGTGCATGTAGGGGGTGTGTCCTCAATAGCCCTGCAGTAAGCAGTGTGCATGTGATTGAGCAGTGTGTAGGGTAGAATTTAAACTGAAATTGCATTAAATCTGGTCGTTTTAACCAAAATTATGCTGCAAGATTTTTTCTCAACTACATTTAAGTCCCCAGTTCCTGGAATTTTGCAAATTTCCAGTTTATTCCTATTAATTCCCATGGAAAATTCCCGGACTTTTGCAACCCTAGTCTTGATAAATTGAAATAATGATTCTGAAGAAAAAAAATATTAGACAACTAAACAAATTTCCAATTAGTAGAGGGATAGACTGAAGCAACGAACATTGTCGATTTAAAACAAATATTAATTTGAACAAAATAATTACGAATAATAATTTGAATGAAGGAGTCAATGTCTTATTCATGAAGACTTGTTTTGTTATTGGATGAGCATGTGTGAACAAATCTCTTGAATTAATGATTCAATTAGTTTTTTTTTTTTTTTAACAGTCCCTTGTCACCACCTCCTGGCATAACAAAATAATTGATAAAATACATACAAGTATCAATTTCAAAAGGTGATTTACTCTATTTTGATCGCTACCGTAGACATCAGTTTATAGCCAAACTATATACGTTTATCCCACTACTTCAGTTATTTAAATGTTTGTACACAGAAATAACATGTGGATGGAAAGATTGTTTGTGAAGCAGTATCATATTTTATATTTACACCGCAGCTGCACTCTCTGGATCAACAGCAGTACGAACACAGAATTGAATGTTGCATATGTGATGATAATACCATCAAAGGTTTAACCAAAGTCCCTAGTCTTTGGTTTAGTGCATGTTTCACATTTTAATAAATGCAAGTTCACAACGTAAGCCTTACAGCCAACCCACTCATTCATTAACCTGGGCAGTGACAAAACTGCGCTGCTCATGCTCTGCTGATGCTTGCAATGTGAAACTGGCATAATACACATAGCTGAATCGTAAGATTGCGTGGGAATGATCAAAACAAACCTGGAGTGTGGTGCCATCATGCCGGGTCGACTGTCCCCCATTCGGTGGTTATCTGTGAATCCTCCGCTTTGTGAGCCTGCTGCCCCGTGCCAGTCTTTCCTGGGGCCCTGATCGCGTCCATGCCGCTCCACCACCACCTGTCTGCCACTGCCAAAGTGCTGCTGTGATAAGGGGGAGAATATATGGTGTTAAATGTTATAACTTGCAACAAAAAGAAAGTGTCACGGGCATGTTATGTACTTTACCTGCTCACCCATGACCACAGGTCTGCCACTGTCTCGGCTGTTGAAGCTGGTTCTGCCACGACTAGCTGTGGGCACCCCTCTCATGGCAGGTCCGGGACCCTCTCTGCCTGGACGCTCTGGACGCATCCGCGCTGCTCTGTAATACAGTCAGCAGCAATCACTGATTACCAGCAGC